AACTGTGTTCTTAAACCACAAGCTACGCCACCTACTCCATGCAAACTCTGACAGGCTGGCATCACGTTTTGGCCTCGGGCAAACCGCCGGCCTCCCCCCACCCCCCACCCCTCCAAGGCCTGGATGGAAGTGAACCTCTGACAGCGAGCCTGCCTGGGGAGTGGCAGGGGCGGCCCTGGCATCCGGAAAGGTGCTCAGAGGGAAGGGGAGGGGTTGCCCGAAAGGCCAGCTGCACAGACATGCCATCTGGCATAATCCCATCCCGCAACCTGCAACCTGGGCAGTGAGCGTTACCTCCGCACACAAGTCAGCAAACGGCCTCCCAGACACGCAGCCGGGTGTGGGCACCCGGAGGGGTCGGGTTATGTTCTCAGGACCTGTGACCTAGGTGGAAGGTCGGGGCATCTCCGGCCCCAGGCTAAGGAAAGTCACCTCGCCACCTGAAAGAGGTGACCCATTCCCAGGCCAAAAAGCGGACAGGGCCCCCCACCCCTACCCCTCGGGAGTTGGCGGGAGGAGTAACATTGCTAACCACCACCCCGTTGGACACATTCTTGCACCCGTTAGGGTCTGCTGGGGCTCTCGCCCCACCTCCACCGCCGGCGACTGTCCTGTTATTCTCATTGTGAGTCTCGGGATGAACGGCCTTGGCACCCAGTGGACCGCCTACCCCAAGCCCCCACGCCCCCACCTGCACCCTGCCCTCTAACTGGTCGTTACAGGGACATAAATACCCCGCTCCCCCGACTCGGCCCCGCTGATGCCATTCTGGTCTCAGCCCTTCTGCTAGCAGATGTAACAATAAATGTATAATCCGTTTTCTCTCTTGGCCTCCGGCATTCCTCCTTCAGCGACCCTAACACACACACACTCCCCCCGCCCTCCCCCCATGGCCGCCCGCGCACACTCACTCGGTTGAACCGCGTCTCCTAAGTGCTGCTCAATCCAAGTCCAGCGACCTCCCTAGACGAGGCCTCGGACCGCCCAGGACCTCCGCTCCCGAGCTCGGAGACTCGCGGCTCCGGGGAAGCAATGGGCCGCGCAGGGCGGGCGAAATCTAGGATTTTCAAAACTGACGGCTCCACCAATCCCCGGCCAATTTACCTGCGCGGCTGCGAAACTATAAGCCAATCGGGTGAAAGAAAGCGTCAGCCAGGCCATCTATTGGTTACTTGGGTTGGCAGTCTGCGGGACTAGGAGGCGGGGAAAGGAAGCGTTGAACTTTAACTTGCTTAACTTCCGGGAGCGGAAGCCGCAGAGGAAGTCGTTCGGCGGTTGGGGTATGCGCGCGCAGGACTCCGCACGCCGGAACTACAAGCCCCAGCATGCACTGCGAAGGACCGCGGGGCGTGGGAGGCGGATCAGAAGGGACCTCTCTGGTACCACTCGCCCAGGGAGTCCTGCGCTTCTTCCTTTCTTCTTGCAGCTCTGCCTCCCCTGCAGGAAGAGTGATTGACAACTGGAAGGGGCTGGACAGGGGACGCCCTACAGAATATTATAGGTTTGCCGGGGCGGCTGTAGCAAAAGCACCACAACCAGAGTGGCGTAAGGGACGGAAACGCATTGTCCTCACTCACACTCTGGGGACCGGACGTCCGAGATCCAGGACTTGGGCGGAGGTGGGCCCTTCGGAGAGCTGCAGGGAGACCAGTCCGGGCCGCCCTCCCGGCTCCGGGGGCTCCTGGCGGTGCTGGCCAGCCCGCTCTTTCTTCCTTCACGCCCCGCGGCGTCCTCCTGGGCGTTTGCCGTCTGTGGCCGCACGGCTGCCTCCGAGGCGCCCTCCGCAGCCACAGGTCCAGGCCGGGGTGGCAACCTCTTGCCTGGCACAGGCATCGGCCGCGCCCGGCACTCGGGAATCCGCAGAACCACGTGGAGTCCGCGGCCTCACGGAGCTGCCTGCAGCGCCAGGTGGCGGGAGGGGCCGGGACGGGGGACGCGGAGCCATCCCGCCTGCAAAGTGGAGGAGATGAGACAGAGGGCTGCTTAAGGCCCCTCCAGCCCCTGGGGAATCCTGTTAGAATCTCGATTTTAGAGACCAGCCCCCGCTGTGGCCACTAGGAGGCAGTAACGGTCTGCGTTGGATCCACTGCCCGGTGGCCAGAAGCCTGGCCTTACTAGATGTCAGTTGATGTGGGGGGTGTGGAGGGGGTTAAGGAATCTCTGCACATCCACATCCATGGGGATCGGTGATGGCTGCTTCAGAGAAGGCGGATGTCACACAACAACGCTAGTGCAGGTGCTCACCGCCAGCTCCTTCCGCCTCTGGACCCACCTACAGGAGCCCTCCCGGGAAGTGACCTGAAATTGGCTTTAGGGATTCCTTCCTCCGTCCCTCTTTTTGCCCCGCCCCTCCAAAGGGATCGGAGCCCCACCTTTTGTTGAATCTATAGGGAAAAAATGCGTAGTAAGTGGGAGAGCGGGACGAACCGTTCCACATAGAACCTGCCTCCTCTCCATCTCTCCCAGCAGAGCCAGTGAGCCTGCAGCTTGATTCTTTTCATTCTTTTTGCGCAGCACCTGTCTACGCTGTGTGTGTACAGGGCCGGGGGGGGGGGGGGGGGGGGGGGGGTAAAAATATATCAACTGGTGTTCCCACAAATACGCAAATATGCAGATGGAGAAGAATTAAGCCACATGGAAAGAGGCGAACTTGTTCAAGTCAGAAACATTTTAGTGAAATCAGTGAGGTTGGAACCAACAAAGCCATGAGCTTGGGAGGAGAGGTGAGGGGGCTTGAATAAACGGTGTCTCAGCCAGGCAAACACTCAGGAGGGAGGAAACAGTCTCAGGGCGCTGAGCTTCCAGTGCGGTGACAAGGAGGAGAGTGGTTTCCTTAGTCCATGGACAGCCCCCAAGTCCCAGCCTTGGAGGTGGGGCTGAAGCCTGAGACTCCGGGGGCATCTCTGGAAGACCCCAGCTTACCTGCTTCTCAGAGTACGTTCCCTGCACCAGCAGCAACAGCCTCACCTGGGGACTGGTCTGAAAGGCAACTTTTTTTTTTTTAATATATTTTATTGATTTCTTAATAGAGGAAGGGAGAGAGAGAGCTAGAAACGTCGATGAGAGAGAATCATCGGCCAGCTGCCCCTTGCATACCCCCCACCAGGGATGTGCCCTCAACCAACATACATGCCCCTGACCGGAATGGAACCTGGGACCTTTCAGTCCGCAGACCGACTCTCTACTGCTGAGCCAAACTGGTTTCGGCGGGCAACTTTTTTTTTAATATACATTTTATTGATTTTTTTTTTTTTTTTTTTTTTTTTTTACAGAGAGAAAGGGAGAGAGATAGAGAGTTAGAAACATCAATGAGAGAAACATCCATCAGCTGCCTCCTGCATGCTCCCTATTGGGGATGTGCCCCCAACCAAGGTACATGCCCTTGACCGGAATCAAGCCTGGGACCTTTCAGTCCGCAGGCCAATGCTCTATCCACTGAGCCAAACCGATTAGGGCTTTGTGTTTTATTCTGGATTTGTCTCCCACATCTCGCTTCTCCTCTGAAGAAGCCCACACCCTTTGCCATCTCGAACTGAGAACTGAGACTATTTGTGCAGAATGCCTACATATATATATATATATATATATATATATATATATATATATATTAGTATATAAAAGGCTAATATGCTACGTGCATCCAACCAGTCGCTATGACATGCACTGACCACAAGGGGGCAGATGCTCAATGCAGGAGCTGCTGAGCTGTAGTGACTTGGCAGCAGCAGTTTTCAGGTGATGTACCCCAAAACCAGAGAGCAGGGAGCCCAATCCCTAACAGGGCCATGTGATTCCACCTTCAGCCGTGAGTTATGTTGCTGGGGCGCTGTAGGCCCTGAATCATTCACTGCACTCTTGTGTTTGCATTCCACATCCTGTCTGATAGCAACTTTGCAGAGTGCCCTCTCGCACTCCGGGACTTTTCAGGGGATGTCAGAGAGCCAGTTTCAGCCCAATTTCCAAAGGCGAGGCTGAGGGACCCCACCTGCCTGAGGGACCCTGCTCAAGCCACAGTGCCACCCCAGGTTCAGCCAGTCAGGGAGGAACCATGGAGGTTGGCTCCGGGGTGTGTCCAGCCAGTCTCGCCCAGTCCAGCCCCACCAGCCACCTTCTAATTAATTCCCTTTCGATGTGCATGAATCCCTGCTCCGGATCACTAGCATTCTACACTGTATTTGTGGACACTAACATGTGAGTTTTATGTAATTGTCATGTATTAGTCTCCAAGGCTCTGAGGCTCCGGAGCGCTCCAAAGCTAGACTAGGCTCAAAGACTATGCTCATACACCAGGTTAGGCTCATAGGCTAGGGTCCAAGGTTAGGGTCATAGGCTAGCTCATAGGCTAGGCCAGGCCCTGCCCCTGGCCGGTGGGCTCTGCTCCTTGGTGTTTGAGCGCCGCCCAGCCCTCAGTGGAAAGGGAAACTACACTTGCAGTTGGTTTTAGGCAGAAGTCCCTGCCCCGAGCCCTGATGGGTCCTTTCACACAAAGGGTGACTCCGAATCCTTGCAGTTTGTTGGTTCAAAAGCCAAGGCTCAGCCACACTGCTCGGTAGCACTCCGTGGTGATGGGGCAGGAAGGGCCGCCTTGGGAAAGGCTGGCCCCGGGCTGCCCGTGGTGCAGACGATGCACGGCAGAGGCGACAGCTTCAGCGGCTTCTCCGCAAGTGCAGTCCCGTGAGCGGCCCCTGCAGAGATGGCTGCTACACCTTTCCTTTTTCTCTCTCTCTTTTTTTTTTTTTTTTTTTTTTTTTTGCCCAGTTAGCCACCAAAAGCCCCTCTTATAGGTGTCCTCGTTCTCGATGTTCACATTTAAATGACAAAACCTCCCCCAGCCCCGCACCGGGGCCCCTGGGCGGTGGCAGCGGTTGGGACCCTCTTCCCCGCATCTCCCCAGCAGCGCCGCCCCGCGGCCTCGGAGGAGGAGGCGGTGCGGCACCCGGGCAGCTCGCCTGCTGCTGGGCCCGCGCCCCCCGTCGGGGCCAGAGCCCTGCGGGAGCGCGGGCGATGCGGGGCCGCGCCGCCTGGAGCGTTAGGGCCGCCCGCGCGCGCCCCCTCGCGGCCGCGGCGCCCCTGCAGGCGGGGCAGTTGCGAGCCCAGCGGTTTCCAGACCCGCCGGGCGGAGGGTCTGGGCCCAGCAGGTTCCGAGTCCTGCGGGGCGGCCCGGCCCGTCCCCCAGCCCGGCGTCCGCCTCCCGCAGCGCCCCGGTGAGCCCACGCCCCGGGCCCAGCGGCGTGGGGGCCCCGCAGGCCACGCTCCTGACACTCACACCCGACGTGGAGCCGGGGGCGGTCGGGGCTCTGGGCCGGGGCCACCCCGCACCTGCCCCGTCGGCGGGTGGCCCGGCTCCCGGGGAGAGGGAGGGGCGGGCGGGAGGACGCGGGGATCGGGGCGCTCCGGGCTCCTCCGCGGCGCTCAGACCCCGCCGCCTCTCCCCCGCCGCCCCGGTTTCCAGGAGGGGCCCGAGCTGAACCCCGCTTTCCTCCCGGAGTGGAAACCCGACCTTGTCCCCGATGGAACCCTCGAGCGGCCGGGACCCCTGCGGGACTCCCGCGGCCGCGGCCGTGAGCCCGGTGGTGGTGGTCCACGGCGGCGGCGCCTGCCACATCGCCAAGGACCGCAAGGAGATGGTGCGGCAGGGCGTGCTGCGCGCCGCCTCCGCCGGCTTCTGCGCCCTCAAGGCGGGCGGCAGCGCGGTGGACGCGGTGGAGTGCGCCGTCAGCGTCCTGGAGGACGACCCCGAGTTCAACGCAGGTGCGTGCGGCCCCGGCCCCGCGTCTCCCCGGCCACCTCTCCCCGGAGTCACCCAGCCTTTCCTTCCAAAGCGCGAACCAACGCGGTCTCCTCTTCCTCTTCCTCCCTGTCCACCAAGTTGCTTTAAACTTTTGGAAACTTTTCCTCCCCTTTCACCTCTTCGCATCAGTAAGAGGTGTTACTTATTTTTGTGGGGGCGTTGGGGGTAGACTACATACCATACGCTGTGTCCGTTTTACTATTTTTATTTAAAATATATTTTACTGATTTTTTTATAGAGAGGATGGGAAAGGGACAGAGAGTTACAAACATTGATGAGAGAGAAACATCTATCAGCCGCCTCCTGCACACTCCCCACTGGAGATGTGCCCACAACCAAGGTGCATGCCCTTTACTGGAATCGAACCCGGGACCCTTCAGTCTGCAGGCCGACCCTCTATCCACTGAGCCAAACCGGTTAGGGCAACTGTGTCCATTTTAAGTTGTGAAAAATGCGTAATACAACCGTGTAACCACACCACAGCAAGATTTTTTATTTATTTATTTATTTATTTATTTATTTATTTTAACTTTTGAGAGGACATTTATTGAAGTTGGGGATAGTGACAAAAAGGGCCAGGGTAGAAGAAGCAGTGGGAGAGAGACTGAGCTTTGGCCACGGAGAAGTCAGATGAAAAGGGACCTTGGTGGGGGCGGGGGGGGGGGGGGGAGTTAGTGCTGGTGGAGTGGCCACTGGCCAGCTGGTGCAGGGCTGGGGGGTCTCCTAGAGTTTGGGGGATGCAGGCCTGTGGGGGGAGGGAAAGGCTCAGGCATGCTGCCGGGAAGGGAAGCGCACCCATAATTGAGGTTTAAGAGCTTTCCATCACCCCCAGAAGTGGCTGCTTGGCAGTCAATGTCCCCAACTCAGCCCCAGCACCGAGCACCCGCTGACCTGCTCCTGTCACCGGGGCCGAGTTTGCCTTCCCTGGGAAGCCAGGCCCGTGCAGCCTTTCCTGTTTGCCCTCTTCACTCAGCTGGTTCCAGCGACGGCAATGAGGGCCACCCTGAGTGCCGCGGCTCCCGACAGCGGTCTGCGGAATTCGCATGATTAACTCATTTAACTAGACTAGAGTCTTGGGAGTGAGGTGTAACTATTACGCTCATTTAGCAGATGAGAACATTAAGGTACAAAAAATAAATTTAAAAGAATACAGCCTGTGGAGTGGCTCAGGGGTTGAGCATTGACCTATGAACCAGGAGGTCACGCTTTGATTCCCGGTCAGGGCACAGGCCCGGTTTACGTGCTCATTCCCCCGGGGTTTGATGTGCAGGAGGCAGCCCATCAGTGATTCTCTCTCATCGTTTGGTAGATTTTATTAGATTTATATACCCTGTTATGTCGTGTATTTTGGTGGTGGGATAAAGACGACATGCTTTTTAAAATTTCAGTTACCCCCCCCCCCAACCGGTGTGGCTCAGTGGATAGAGCCTGCAGACTGAAGGATCCCGGGTTTGATTCTGGTCAAAGGCATGTACATTGGTTGCGGGCACATCCCCAGTGGGGGGTGTGCAGGAGGCAGCGCGTCGATGTTTCTAGCTCTCTACCCCTCTCCCTTCCTCTCTGTAAAAAATCAATAAAATATATTTATAAATATCTCCCTTTGGGGACGCAGCGGAGGGCGAGTTAGAGTGGCGGCCTAGCGGAGACCCGGAAGCCAGTTCTAACTCCTGGATTCTCGCTTTCACCTTCCTCGTGGGTTTAGGTTATGGATCCGTCTTGAACGCAAACGGGGACGTGGAAATGGACGCCAGCATCATGAGCGGGAAAGACCTGTCTTCGGGCGCCGTGTCTGCCATCCGCTGTATCGCGAACCCCATCAAGCTGGCGCGGCTAGTGATGGAGAAGGTACGGGCGACCAAGGAAGCATCCTTCCCCTCGGGCCCGCCGCGCCCTAGTGCCCGCGGGCCGGCCCGTAGGGAGGCGCTGGGGGCCACTGTCCCAGCACGCACAAAGGGACGGGGACGTGAAGTTCCTCATCGGCCAGCACATTGGCACCCACCAGTGACCGCGCTGCTTCCGGGTTATCTCCCGGGTCCGGCCTTCTCACACACATAGAACACAGCACATGCAGACAGACAGACCAGCTGTTTACTGGTCGGTATTAAATAAACATGGATATGTTCTCTTAAGTGTAACATCATATGTAGCCCTGGCCGCGTGGCTTGGTTGGTGGGAGCCTCCGTTGTCCATACACCAAAATGTCAGGATTCGATTCCCAGTCAGACCTAGGTTGCAGGTTCGATCCCCGGTCGGGATGCATATAGGAGGCCTCTGTCTCACATCAATCTCTCTCTCTCTCTCTCTCTCTCTCTCTCTTTCTCTCTGTCTCTGTCTCTCTGTCTCTCTATCTCTCTAATCTTTCTGTCTCTCTCTCTGTGTCTCTGTCTCCCTCCTTCCTTCTCATTCACTCTCTTTTCCTCTCTCTCTCTCTAAAATGTTTAAATATATTCTTGGGTATGGTTTTTTTTTTAAAAAGATCATATGTAAGTCCCATTTCTAGCAGTATACCATCATTTTGGTTTTTGTGGAGTTGTGTTTTTTTAATAGAAACCTCAGAGCCAGCCTCTTTACAACACTGAGAAAAGTAAGCCACTGAGATTTGCGTTTGTGAGGTTTTGTGCCGGAGAGGAGTCGTTCTCACACAGTAGGAACAGTTAAAAAGATCTCAGCTTTTTCAGAAGCTCACCGTGTTTCTTCTGGCGCAGACGCCTCACTGCTTCCTGACGGACCGGGGTGCCGCGGAGTTTGCCACCGCCATGGGGGTCCGCACGGTGACCCGGGAGCAGCTGGTGACGGAGAAGAACAGAAAGCGCCTGGAGAAGGAGAAGCGCGGGAAAGAGGGGAAAGACGCTCAGAAACTAGAGTCACAGAAGTAAGCGCCACATGTGGCCGCGGGGGCAGGGGGGCGGACGTTTTGCTCAGGCGTGAACGCTGGGCGGCTGTTGGCTCACTGACAGTTCTTAAAGAAGCCCGGGAGCGCGCGGCAGTCTCACTCTTTGAACAAAGTAATGCCGCTAAGTAACGGGCTTTTTAATAATGAACTTAACGTGGCTCAGTGGATACAGCGTATGAGCGCGATCTTAGGACACTTCCCTTTCTCCGGCGGGCTCATTCCGCTCAGCATGATGCTCCCCAGGCCCATCCATGCCCTTGCAAGTGGTCGGAGCTCTTTGTCTTCCCAGCCGCAGAGTATTCCGCTGTGCAGACGTACCCCAGCTTCCGTGTCCACGCCTCTGCTCACGGGCACTCGGGCTGCTTCCTGGTCTTGTAGGTTGTGAATGGCGCTGCTGTGGACATCGGGGTGCATGCATTCTTTCTGGGACCCCCAACAAACCACCGGCTCCTCCACCTCCTGGCTGGGTTCTTGGGATGTATTCCCAGGAGCGGCATCGCAGAGCCCAACGGCAGTTCCCTTGTCAGTGTTCGGAGGACACTTCCTGCTGTTCTGCACGGGGCCGCACCAGCCTGCACACACACTCACACACACACACACACACACACACATACACACACACCCCCCGGGACCGGGTTTCCCCTCCTCACCCCTCGAGCGCCGCCATGTCTAGCCACGATGCAGACTCTGTGTGATTGCCTAGCAGTTACCTCAAGCCTGTGCCCACAGTGGAACTTGGGACCCTCCTGCCCAGCCCACTCCACACACCACCCACAGCACAGCAGCACCAGCCCCAATGGTCTCCTGCATTTCTTTATTTTTACTTTTAATGTAATTTCCATTTTACTGTAGTCCCCTCCACCTGAGCCAATGCTTCCAGCAGCCTTTCCGTTGCTGAGCCCCGAGCCTTAGCTGCTCCTGGTTCCTCCCACACTTCGTGCCCCGGGGGACGGGCAGTGCGGGGCGGCCAGGCAGCCGCGGCCGCACCCGGAGGTGTCGGAAATGCGGGGTCCCGGGTCCCACCCCGATGGGAAAACTCCGGGTGTCCCGGGGGGAGGGGCCCAGGGAATTCTGCATCCACTCCAGGTGGGGCTGCAGGCTGCTCCCGCTGCCCCTGCGGGCTCCTGGGGCAGGAGCGTGGGGATCAGGGTGCGTCCGTCCGCCTGTGCGTGCCCTGCCCCTGCGGCCCTGAGCCGCGCGGCTCGCCCTCACGCTGCCGCCTCCTCTTCTGTTTCCCTTCTGCAGACACTTGGGCACCGTGGGCGCCGTGGCCTTGGACTCCAAAGGAGACGTGGCCTATGCCACCTCGACGGGGGGCATCGTGAACAAGATGGTCGGCCGAGTGGGGGACACGCCCTGCATCGGTAGCGCTGACAGCGGACTCCTGCCCCCCCCCCCGCCCTCTTTTCCTTTCACCAAGTTCACGTTCCTGGTGGCCCCCGCCCCTCTCCTCCGGTGGCAGTAGTTGGCGGGGTCATGGGGTTTCCCTTCAAGGGCATGACCTGAAAGTTGGGGTGACACAGGGAAGGAGATGGCGATCAGGAAGCTAGCTGAAGGTGCCCCCAATCTACCCACCGGGCCTCTCTCTTCTCTCCAGCCCTGGTTTCCGGATCCACTGACTTAGTCCCAATGGTTACACACGCCACCTCTGCCCAGGCGCCAGCCCCTGCCCAGGCGCTGCCTCTGCCCAGGTGCCACCCCTGCCCAGACACCACCTCTGCCCCGGCACCACCCCTGCCCAGGTGCCACCTCTGCTCAGACGCCACCTCTGCCCAGGCGCCAGCCCCTGCCCAGGCGCCACCTATGCCCAGGCGCCACCCTCTGCCCAGGTGCCACCCCTGCCCAGGCGCCACCCTGTGCCCAGGTGCGGGCATGAATTAGCGAGCTGAGCGAGCAGAGGGCTGGGCTGCCGTGCAGTCATTAGATTTGAGTGGCACCAAAGCGACACGCTGCTCGCCACAAAACGTTACAACCCAGGAGGGGGTCCTGGGAGGGGGTGCAGACTGGGCGGGTTTGGGGCCAGGGAGGAGCTGTCCTGGTGTAGCTGTCCCTCCTCTCCTCTTCCCTCCCCTCCCCTCCCCTCTCCTCCCCACCAGGTTCTCGGCATCCTCCTGGTTTCAGGGCGGTCACCTGTGCTTGCTGACCGGTCCACCTTTGCATCCCAAGGTCATGGCTTCTCCTCCGACCTTGTCCACACTGTGGGGTTAAACGTGGATTAGCATTAGCGTGGCCTGTGTGTGAGCGTCCTCTCCGGCTCAGGCAGAACCCTCTTTCCTCGGCGCAGGATGCGGGGGCTACGCTGACAACGACATCGGGGCCATCTCAACCACGGGCCACGGGGAGAGCATCCTGAAGGTGAACCTGGCCAGACTCACCCTCTTCCACGTGGAGCAAGGTATGTGGGCCGAGGCCGCGCTGAGCGAACAGATGGGGCCGGATCTCACCCCTTCTCCTGTGGGCGCTAGTTGCGTTCAGCTTGTCAGCAGTACCGCCTGCCGCCTGCAGGGGGCGGCGGCGGCTCGAGGCCTGGGTGGGAGAAAAGGCCCTGGCTCAGAGGGAGGAGGGGCTGGCGTGGGGCACTCAAACAGACATCGTCTACCTCGGCTCTGGGTTTTCATGCGCTGATGGTTCTTTTTTTTTTTAATGTATTTTACTGATTTTGTACAGAGAGGAAGGGAGAGAGATAGAAAGTTAGAAACATTGATGAGAGAGAAACATCAATAAGCTGCCTACTGCACACCCCCTTCTGGGGATATGCCCACAACCAAGGTACATGCCCTTGACCGGAATCGAACCCAGGACCCTTCAGTCCCTAAGCCAACACTCTATCCATTGAGCCAAACCGGTTTCGGCTGATGGTTCTGCCATCAGATCCCTTGGCAAGGAGCTTACGCGCCGTTTCCCACCTGCCCCCGTTTCCAGGAAAGACCTTGGAGGAGGCTGCTGAGGTGTCACTAAATTACATGAAGTCAAAGGTCAAAGGACTAGGGGGCGTCATCTTGGTCAACAAAGCGGGACAGTGGGCGGTCAAGTGGACCTCGGAGTCCATGCCCTGGGCGGCCGCCCAGGCCGGCAAGCTGCACTGCGGCATCGACCTCAACACGACCACCGTCACCGACATGCTCTGAGCCCGCTTCCCTGTCCCCCCCGCCCGCCCCCAAGACTGTATTCCAGGTGCCAGCCTGCAGGTAGAGTACATTTCCGGGCGTGGAGTCTTAGCTTAAGCAATTAGAGCTAAACATGGAAAACCTCTGCCGTCTGTCACTCGTCTGTCGCCTCGATCAGTAAGCATGTGGATGTCTGGTGAGGGCGGTTCCCGAGGGATGAGAGTGACGCCCACCGTGACATCCACGTGAGACGGCGAAGACGCCAGCCCCCCGGCCCCCCGGCCCCCCAGCCTCCCAGCTGGTCTCTGGAGCAGCCATGGGGTCTCGGGTGAGGAAGAAGAAACACGTGAGCTTAGCCCAAGGACACTGCCCTTGGCATTGGGGGACCCGCCCCAGGTGTGCACGTTCGGATGGGCCGTGAGGGGCAAAGTGGGAAGGAGAGAGCCCAAGGAGGCGCCCAGAGCCGGGCGGGAGCAGCAGGACCGCTGGGCCATGGCCAGAGAGGCCGCCACAGGTCGCAGCCACCCCTGGGCTCCGGACAGCACGGGGCGCAGTCATCCGGGGGGACACTGATTTTTCTAAGGAAGTCCGGGTCTCCCCCGACTCACTGACAGAGAGGTTTCCCAGGACCCGGGGTAACCCCTAGCGCCCTCGTCTGGGGATGAAGGTGTCACGGGCCAGTCCGGGAGCTCCCGGGGGCCACACAGGAGCCTGCGCTCCTGGTCTCCCCGCTCAGCCGAACGCCCCGCTCACAGCAGCCTCTGCTGAGTCCTGGGGCGCAAACCTCCCATGGCTCGCGACTCCAGCTTCAATGAAATGTGTTTGGGAGAACAGCAGTGTGGTCAGGAGCGTGTGGACAAAAGGGGGGGCAGACGGGGGGGCCGGTGACAGGCCTGCGAGGTGCGGGGCATGCGGAGCGCCCGCGAGGGGTTGGCAGAAGAGCTTGCTTTTCTGAGCGGGCTCAGGAAGGAAGGAAACATGTGCCAGTGTCAGCAGGGTCTGATTCCTGACCTCTGACCCTGCTCCGGACTACAGAGGAAGGGGTAGCCCTTGAAGGCAGAACCGAGTTTAACTCTGCTGGTGACCTGGGCAGGTTCACTTCCTCTGTAAACACAGATCGCTCTGGAGAGCAAAGGGAATTAAAAAATTGCTCAGTGGCCATGGCCGGTGTGGCTCTGTCAGTTGAGCCACCGAAAGGTCACGGGTCCAATTCCCAGTCAGGGCACATGCCCTGGTTGCAGGTTCAACAAGAGGTAACCGATTGATGTATCTCTCTCACATCCATGTTTCTCTCTCTCCCTCTCCCCTCCTCTCCTTCTAAAATCAATAAAAACAAGTTTAAAAAAAATAATAATAATTGCACAGTGTTCACTTTAAGTGTCCTGCGGACCCATGTCGACGTGGTCAGGCCCAGGAGGGAGTCTGTGTGTCGATGTCCTCGAAAACCCCCGCATGCCACAGCTGCCCCTAGAAATAAGGGTTTGTCCGCAGGTGTATTCGTTTGCTGGGCCTGCCGGCCACAGTCCCGCAGACAGTGGCTTAACCACGGGTATTTTGTCCCAGTTCCGGAGGCTGGAAGTTCAAGATCAAGGTGTCGGCAGGTTTGGCTTCTCCTGGGGCCTCCCTGCTTGGCTGGCAGGACGGCCGCCCCCTCACGGAGCCCGCACGTGGCCGTCCCATCATGTACGCTGTGGCCAGATTTCCCTTCCCTCACAGCCCCCCCTGGCCACAGTGGTCCCTCCCAAGGCCCGTCTCCAAATCCGGCCGGGGTTAGGGCTTCCACGTGGCAGTTTTGAGGGGATCATGCTCAGCCGGTCACTGGAGGCTGAGCCGGGTTACTGTAGGGGTCGGGAAGGAAAGGCGGGAGGAGACACGATCACGGTAGAAGAGGGAAAAGGGAGGGAGGCAGGGAGGCCAGGAGGACGTGATGAGCTCATCAGTTCCACGGTTCACCAGGGACGTGACTGATCAGACGCCGGAGGCTCGGATCCTGTGGGGCCCCCTGACCTCTGTGGCCAAGCAGCCCCATGGGGCAGGGGTGTGGCCGCCCCTCGGAGAAAGCCCGGGTTGGCCTGGCGCCTGGACCCTGGTTCTGTGGACAGTCACCTCCACCAGCCGGGAATCCCTAAGCAGAGGCCACGGAGGGGACTCTCTTTGCCCCACACTGGGCGGCGGCCTCACTCCCCATCTGCCCAACAGATAAGATGAGCCACAATGGCATGCCTTTCTGCATCCCAACCACAAGAGGGCGGCAAACTACAGTGTCTTAAGGTCTCCGCTGCCCCGGGGGCTGGGCCTGCATCTGGATCCGAAGCATCTGCTCAGAAAACTTCAAACCACAAGAGGGTTCGGGTTCCCGAGCCTCAGTTCATCCAAATATTACAATTTATTTTAGGGCGGAATTGTCCCACACCCAGGCCTCTGAGACCTGCCGGAGCGCAGAGCGGAGTCCACCCCGCAGCACCCACCTGGCAGCAGGAAGGCGGGGCTGTACCTGGGGGCCGTCACACCACGCCGGAGGCTGCTTTTTCAAATGATGTTTCTCCACGTCCTCCCTCGCTGCGAGCTGATACACTCTGAGGGCGGAACAGGAGCAGGTGGAGGGCGTGCAGGAAGCTAGCCCGGACACAGTCCTCCCAGCCCACGCCCTCCGTCACCCCAAAACCTTCACTGCATTCACTTGTAAAAATACAGATTTTTTTTTTAATTGATTTCAGAGAGGAAAGGAGAGGGAGAGAGAGAGAAACATCAATGATGGGAGAGAATCATTGATCTATCAGCTGCCTCCTGCACATCCCCTACTGGGGATCGAACCCACAACCCGGGCATAAGCCCTTGGCCGGGACCCACCAGTCCACAGGCCGATGCTCCATCCGCTGAGCCAAACCAGCCAGGGCCGTAGCAGCTTTGAGGGAGCTAGGAAGCGCCCCCACAGAGCCTGTCCGGCTCAGAAAATCTGGGGTCCCTCCCTCTGAGGACCTGTAGGCAGCGCCCGGAGAGGAAGGGGTGCTGGGCTGAGGGACAGAGGCGAGACCAGGGTCGGCATGGGCTTGGGCAGAGCTTTGGGCCTGCAGCTCAGGTGGGAGTGGGGCTGGGAGAGGTGCGGGTGCCCATTCGCGGTTCCATCCAGAGTGTCAATGCCTGCTCACCCCCATGGGCAAACAGCCGGCCTGCCTTACCCCCCCACACATGTGCACTCAGTGAGGGCAGCCATGCCAGGCCCAGGATGCCCTGCCCTCCTCGTCCATGCCCCCCCGCCCCCGCCCCGGGCTAACCTGAGGCTTGTCTCAGCCTCCTGGTCCCAAGTCCTGTGGCCTGAGCGACAGTCCGTCCTTATCACATCGGTCAACCAGCCCCCCAGCCCCAGCCCCGGACACCCCCCCAAGACTGGGGGGCAGTCCCAGGAGCGCTCCAGGTGAGAAGCAGGAAAGAGCGGTTCAAGCACTGCTCTTCCTTTTGCTGCCCTTATTAGTCCTCACCCGGGACATTTTTTCCATTGATTTTTAGAGGGAAGGAGGGAGGGAGGGACGGAAGGACAGAGGGACGGAGGGACGAAGGGAGGGGGACCAATGTGAGACACAGGGATTGGTTGCCTCCCGCACATGCCCAGACCGGGGCCTGGGACCGAACCGCAGACCCTTTGGTGCATGGGCTGGAGCTCTAACCACTGAGCACACAGGCCAGGGCAAATCCTGCCCTTTCCCCAACCCACTGTTAAAACGAAGTTGGGCCGAAACCGGTTTGGCTCAGTGGATAGAGCGTCAGCCTGCGGACTGAAAGGTCCCAGGTTTGATTCCGGTCAAGGGCATGTACCTTGGTTGTGGGCACATCCCCAGTAGGGGGTGTGCAAAGAGGTAGCTGATCGATGATTCTCTCTCATCGATGTTTCTAACCCTCTATCCCTCTCTCTTCCTCTCTGTAAAAAAAACAAACAAAAAAAAAAACATGAAACCGGTTTGGCTCAGTGGTAGAGCATTGGTCTTTGGACTGAAAGGTCCCAGGTTTGATTCCGGTCAAGGGCATGTACCTTGGTTGCGGGCACATCCCCAGTAGGTGGTGTGTAAAGAGGTAGCTGATCAATGATTCTCTCTCATCGATGTTTCTAACCCTCTATCCCTCTCTCTTCCTCTCTAAAAAAAAAAACAAACAAAAAAAAACCTGAAACCGGTTTGGCTCAGTGGTAGAGCATTGGTCTTTGGACTGAAAGGTCCCAGGTTCAATTCTAGTCAGGGGCATGTACGTTGGTTGCGGGCACATCCCCGGTAGGGGGCGTGCAAGAGGCAGCTGGTCGATGTTTCTAGCTCTCTATCTCTCCCTTCCTCCTCTGTGTAAAATATCAATAAAATAAAAAATAAAAAAATAAAAAACCGAAGTTGGATTTTCCAGTGGTGAAACCAGACTGAGATTCATAAAAAAATGAGATAAAAATAAATCACTGGTCCCCCGGAGATTCTCGCCCTGCGGTTTCGGCATTTCCTGGACCCCGGCAGTTTGGGTTCTAAGCCGTGGCCAGGGGAGGGTAGACAAAGGGCAAAGAGGCTGGTCCCCAGGCTGTAGCCGAGGCCCGCCACGGAGCCCCTGGCTGCAGCTGCCCTGCGGCTCTCTTGCAGGGTAGTAGTGTTTCACTGAATATGTTTAAGTTGAAAATAACCTCCTCAGCCCTGGCCGGTTTGGCTCAGTGGCTAGAGCGTTGGCCCTGGAACTGAAGGGCCCTGGGTTTGACTCCCATCAGGGGCATGCACCTTGCTGCAGGCTCAATCCCCAGTAGGGGGCGTGCAGGAGGCAGCTGACCGTGTTTCTCTCTATCCTGCTCCCTTCCTCTCTGTAAAAAACAAGAGACGAGGGGAATCTCCTCACCCCAGTGAACATCACCATTAATGCCTAATTAATTCATGGGTGTTTTTTTTTCCCCCACAATGAGATCATACTGTGCATGCTTTCCCCCGTTAACCACTTTCCGCACCAAACTCAGGCCTCATGTAGCCCTCAGTCACTCAGCAAACCCCCAGTTTCCTCCACAATGCCCCTCTCCCGGGGCTGTGCCCTGTGGGCTGAGTGTTGGCTGGGCCAGTCCCCCGCAGGCCACACCTTCCTGGGGGGCGGGCGCCCTCCGAGGGGCAAGGTGAGGTTTGGCCAGAACATTCCGCACGTAGGGCTGGGTGCCGGGCAGGCCCAGGGGCCACCCCGATCCTGTGCGGGAAGTCCGGCGCTGGCTGTGGAGCCCCGCTGAGCCGGGTCTGGGAGAGGACTTGCCGGTCGGGCCACACCCGGGGCCGCCCAGGAGTCT